GATTCAAGCTTTAGAGCAAGCCAGAAGGGTAGACACCGGTACGATTCTGTATGGTGTGGCAGATATAGCAAAGTCAGTACGTGACCAGCAGCTCGAGCTTCGTGGAGTCATCGTCACGTAGGGTGAACTGCTGTCGCTCACGAGGCCGGTCGTCCATACTTCTCGCACCGCTCATTTGAATCAATTCACGTACAACCCGTGTCCCAGAAAAGAGAGCAGTAAGGAAGAAGCAACACTAGATTTAGAGTCACGTTGATTAGGCAAGCAGCAAGCACGCCACTTCTCACCTGTTTCCACCCAGTTCGGCCTCTTCAAATCTCTGACCATGCATGTAGTTGGGAGAACTCTGCAATACTCTAACCACGCTGACGTCTCTACGGAAGGCATCTTGCTCTGAAGTGTCCATTTCGAGCCATGGCAAGTACAGCACGGCCGGAATTTTCGAACACCCACGCCGTTGATGCTGAATTCGAGCGTTAGGGAACTTGAGCTGCAGCTGTCTCAACCTGAATTTATGTGCGCGGCGCGCGCCTGAATTCAATACGTCACGTGCGCCTTACGATACTGCCAGCTTTGATCCGATGTCGAGGTATGCGCTCATCGCCTTCTTCAAGACATCATCCCTCTCCTGCTGGAGCTTCCTAGCCACAATCGTGCATTCATCAATCACGCTGGAGCAATGGTTGCGCAGCGCCGTCAGTTGTCCCACAGCACCCTTTATCAACTTCGGCATTGCTTTGAGTTGTTTCGCTTCTTGCTCTCGACTGGCGGCGATTATGCCGTCGGTCAAGTAACTCGCGCCATCGGGCTTCTGCGCGTACCAGGAGGCCAACCTGAGCAGCCTCTCGCGATCCTCTTCTTGCTTCCTCAGCCTTTGGAGGGGGTCGTCTGCCATCTTTAGCAGAAGTCGTGCCTCATCAGCATAATCACTCGCGCGCAGACTGGCGTCGGTGATGACTTTGGCTTTTCGTGTCAAATTGTCTGTCAAAGTACGATCACCCCGATCGAGGTCTGCCGACTTTAAGACGCTGGTGAGTCGTTTCGAGATGAGATCACGCGGCGGTTTGTCTCTGATGCAGAAGTAAGCGGCCAGAAGATCACGCCAGAGGTCCGGGGTGAAGGATTTGATTGGGAGATCGTTGAACAGAAGCAGTGCCGCAGCTATCACAAAAATGCCGCAGTTGTTGCTGTCGGTCTGGCGCATCGAGGAGGGGAAGCAATCGACTCCTGTTATACAGTCTTCCTGCCAAGAATTATGCTTCCTCAGGATATCCTGGACGATCTCGATCGTGCGCTCAACGCACTTGCCGTCTCCCTTGGGGTCGTACACCATGCAGTGACGGCGCGTCTTGTCGTAGGCCGCCAACACCCAGTGATGCATATTCGACAGGTGGAGAGGAATCATGAGCTTTTCCGGCGAATCGGACGGGCTTTTGTTGAAAGACCTACTGTCACTTGGTCCACTCTGCGTGTTTGTGAGGGTTGAGAAGACGAGCCAGACAGACGGATCGGGGTTGAAAATCTCCAGCAGCGAGTTCACACAGTCGTCGTTGATCCATTTATTTTGTACGAGTAAGGAAAACGCTTTGTCCATCGAATCATCGTCGATGAAGTACAGCTGCTCCGACGTTGCACTCGAGCCGTGGATCATGATCGGCTCTTGTCCATTGTCTGGCTTATCGCGCTTGCGCTTGAGCAGCGGTGTCGTGTGAACTTGACGTTCCGAAGGCGTTGTTTGCGACCGCGGCGGGTCGACGACAGATGAGCGTGAGGACATCGTACTCCCCGATATTGACGGGACGGGGGTCAATGGCGGTTGGACAAGCATGTTGTTTGCCAGGACGGACTGCTGCATCACCCGGATCCC